ATCGGTTTCTGCTTACTCTGCTGTCAGACACACAGACGAGTGATTTGTGGAAAGGACGTAGCGAAATTGTCTGAAGACAGAGGCAAAGTGGTTAACATTCTTTTAAAAGACTTCAAAATCCCAAAAGTTGACGACAAATGAAAAATTCTACTTTGACCATCGCCTCTTTTCTGGTTGCTGTCATGTTCGTAAATTTGATTTCCCAGGAGGAGATTCCGTGCTAAAGGAAACAACGACTAGATATCGTTTAGAGCCTCAATTACACAGATTTGTATAAGAGGGGGAGAGAGACCCTTTGATAGAGGTGATTCTAATATCCCTTATGTAAAGCATTTGGATAATACACACACAAATCAGCTGAATGAACTTTACGGTTCTCGTAGTAATCAAGTCTAATAATTATATTAACCAAGGTCAAAACAACATGCCACTACTCGTCTGTTCGTGTGTCTTCCATTGGAAATATCATTCTTAATATAATCACCAGATGTCGCAATCGGCAGCAAGGTAACGTGTACGAGAGTCGCAATTCGCGCAGTGGAAATTGGAGTTTGTGCAACACGATACAAATTTAAAATAAAATTATGTATAAAAAAATCATAAAATCCATGGAACCAGTAGGGCACAGACTTTCAGAGAAAAGCTTCTTTGTTTCATCTAGTTCGTGGAACACTGCGTCAAAGTTATAACGCAAGCCTGGCTAATCTACTGTTAAATATGTCACAGACATGTTCTGAAGAACAAGGTGGAAATAATATCTAAAATGTGTACGGTCAGGTTTAGTAGTGCAATGTTATAAAAACAAACATGATTGATGAAATAGACAAGAAACAACTTAGATAGTCGTAATTATAGCGATATGACGTGAGGCAGCCCACGTGTGTATTGGATGACAGAAGCATATACTTGGATTCATTCAGCTTTCATCTGACACTTAGCACTTTCTTTTAATCACTAATATTGCCAGTTCATGACAGTTCATGGTGTCTCATCTTTTAATAGCAATATATTTCCTAATTTATTGTATTGCTTATAATTTTCTTATATATATATATATATATATTAATTCTAGACTCTGCTTACATATTTGGCGTTTTGCTCCTTTGAAACTATCCCACGGGCGCTCAGCAATAAGTATGAGAGCCTATAACGCTAAAATTTAGGTTTCGACACCCACGGTTGGCAGACCACAGATAGCCCCTTGTATAGCTAGGCACTTAACAACAAACAGACTCTTTGAGATCAAGACAATTAGCTCCTGTTAGTTGGGAAAGCTAACACTGGTAGACTTAGTTGGATCGTAATGTAGTTAAGCATTAATTTGCTTTAACGACCTAAGGAGAAAAAAAAACCCTCAAAAAATAGATTTAAAGAACTAATTTTATTAAAGTTGGGACAAGTTTGTTTTCTAGCACAAAATTGCTTTATGGACTATCTGTGCTGTATCCACCGCGTAGATCAGACCTCGAATTTTAGCCTTATAAATTCTCAAGCTTACTACCGAACCATCTGAACTACGATATAAGATATGTTTGTTTTATAATAAAATAAAATGCAAAAAAGTGTGTATTTGTTAGAAACTAATCAAGTAAGTAAAGACAGAAGAACAATTAAAATCGGAGTGACTCGTTTGTTCAAAAGTTTCCAGTTTCAGGTTAACATTTTAACCATGACTTAGATAATAAACCAGAATTATTATGTATATATATATCATAAATAATGTTGAAAAGTCAACTGAAAGCAAATCTTATGTGAATTTTAAATGGAGAAATATTACTATATATACATGTAGATAGTTCGGAAATAATGTAAATATAATCGGAGAGTATATGCCGCTTTTCAGCTATCCAGAGCGTCCAAAAGTCGTAAACCGGCGAATAGCCAAAACCAAGATTTCTTATTTTCGTTCATCATCTTTCTTCAAAAAGGCCTAGCACCTACCTAGTTCTAGCAGTAACTATAATTTTATCATCATTTGATAGAGCAAAACAGTATTCACGATCCGCGTCACCTATTTCTTTAATATTGTATAACATAGCAACCCACGTACGTCATCTTATATTCTGTGCAATATTTGAGAAAAAAAATAAAATTACAATTCTAGTGTAAACGATCTGGTTTTCCTTTAAAAAGCTTAAGTACAGGGTGAAACAGGAATTACCAGCCAATAATTGAATAATAGATGAACATTAGATGACTGTAACATGTAAAATACTCAATGCTTTGTACACTATGCAATCGGTGTCTTTAGGGAGCCAATCCCTATATTATGTATGAAGTGAAGGAGTGAAAAAGTCAATACATATACAGGTCATCAGAAGATAGATATGAAGAGCTACCTGGCATAGTCGCTCTATCTTCGATGTATATGCCACTTTTCAGCTATCCAAGAGCATTCCCCAAGTCGAAAACCAGTGAATAGCCAAAACAGATTTTTTTTTTCATTCATTATTATCTAGTTCTAGCAGTAATTATAATTTTTATCATCATTTCATAGAGGCCAGGCATGGCCTGGTGGTTAGGAAGTTCGACTCTCAATCTGGGGGTCGC